GATTGGGGTGGACTTCATCATGGACTTAATCATCATTTAAGTTTCTCTACATTAGAGGGAAGGTTGTTCTTTTTGCACTATGCTGCCAGCTACTCCATCTCCTCTCTGCAAGCAGATTTGTAATGTTTGTTGACTAGACCAGCCACCACAGTGTCATCTGTGAACCCAACCTGCCAGCACATTGAATGGGTGAAGATGTGTAACTGATCAAATTTTTAGACAAATTGTATTAAAATTGAAGTTACACAGCATACTAGCAGCAATTATGGTTCTTTTTTAAACTTCCCAGGAACATTCTACATTCTACAGAATTTCTAGGAAATTCACTTTCCTAGAATGGAGCAATGCAAATTGAATGTTTTCCATAGCTTTTGCAGAACAAGTATTTAGCGATCTTAGGGTGAGAGCGGAACTACACGCCCCCAATGCAGGAATAACTGAAGGAGCTTCTGGCTGCTCCTCCACACAGAGCTGGTCCATCTGTGAGAATCTCGAGGGCTTTCTGTCACATAGGGCCCACTTAAGGGGTTGGGACTGAATGTTGGGACATGATCATGAGCTCAGCTGAACACATGTGGATTCAGGAAGGGCAGAGTGAGGCTGGCAGTTGCATTTGTGCAAGATAGACATCAGTGTGCTGAATGTTATGGGTTTGCATAAGAAATTCTGTCTCCTGATTGTGGCTTATTCTGTACAACATAAATGTGACAGTGAGACTTTTCTGTTGATGTTTTTAGATGTCCCCCTACTGGCGCTACTGACCCAAGTTGACAAAGCGTGCCCACATGTGGAAAAGGACTTGAAGAACGTGTACCGCAGCTGCTTCATAAAGGAGCAGGTGAGTTTCTGGGTCTAACACTAGAAACAGTCCTAAAGGCTGCACTGACATATCAGGACAGAAACCCGCAGCAGGACCCTTGACTATGAAATTAACCTAAATTTCTGCAGCAAACAATATTAGAAATGATTCAATCGATTGGCAGCCAGTTTAAATTGGCACTTAAATTTAAATCAGTCTTAATTACTCAGTTGGCAGCCTTTAATTTGACCAATCTTAAATACCGATTTTGCAGACGATATACAATATGTGGGTGGTGCAGTGGTTAGCACTGTCACCTCACACCTCTGACCCCTGGATTTGGGTCTCTGTCAGAGTTCCATGTGTGTGGAGTTTGTTCTCCGTGTG